CACACACACACACACACACACACACACACACACACACACAACACACACACACACATATGTATGTATACATCTTTTTTTATAGATTATTATAACAACATAGTTTGATCTGATTAACTAATGATAAAATTCAAGAAAAATGGATCTTATGTTTTGTAAAATGTACACCACGAGTTTGAGTCCCGTCTACGGTTCGCGATTCAACTGAAAATTAAAAATGAAATAATATAAAAAAAAATGGAAAATGGCCCTTGTCCTTGTCCTAGCGAATGATACGTTACATAGAACCGTTTATAATGATTTAATGTGATATTCAATTATTCAGTTTTTAGAATGACATTAACTGCATTGCTTAAGCATTACTGAAAGACTGAAACATACCTAGAACACAGAAACATATCTGAAAAATTTCCATGATTCGCCAAAAAAGAAAAAAAAAAAAAAAAGAAAGAAAGAAAGAAAGAAAAAGAAAAAAGAAAAAAAAGAAGAAAGAAAGAAAGAAAGAAAAGAAAGAAAAAAAGAAGAAAGAAAGAAAGAAAGAAAGAAAAGAAAAAGAAAAAAGAAAGAAAGAAAGAAAAGAAGAAAAGAAAAGAAAAAAAAATATATATAGATAGATAGATAGATAGATAGCAATGATCATTTCCCGGACGTTAAGAAGTCCGCCCATGGATCATACTCACACATACAAACAAACACATATGTACACACATATATACACTCTTTCAGTGAGGATAATCGTGAAGCTGTTTCCTCGTCTGGACGCTTGGAATCTTTGCAGACACTGAAGCAAATACAGAATATACAGACAGACACACAGGTTGGCTATTGAGACACGGTCGAACACACGCACTCAAGCACACATTCGGACACGGAGACCAAAGATGTATGGTAATAATGGCGATGTTTTTGAAGAGTAATAATAATGATTATTCCCTTGGTCAAATTACTTCAAACGTTGGCTATAGATAAGTAATGAGAATGCAAGCTAATGGTAATTATGATAATGATAATGGTGATAATGATAGTGATAATAGTAATAGATAATGTAGAAATAATAGTAATGATAATAATGATACTACTTTTATTACGACTGCTACTAATGATGATTATGAGGGTAATGATAATAATAATAATAATAATATGATAATAATAATAATATAATATAATAAATAATAATGATAATAACAATAATAATAGAAAAAATACCAATAGGATAATATGATAAAATTGATAAAGGTAATAAAAGTCAAAATGATAATAAAAATGATAATGATAATAACAATCATGATAAAAGTGATGATAAAACTTTGCTCAGTATTCTTGATATAAAACAAATCCTAAATTTACCACAAACCAGTAATCAAAGGAAGCAACTATATCTATATCCATATCTATAACGTATAACTTATGAAATA